AGCCTATACTCAGTCCCTTTTCAGCACACGGAATTACTTGAGGAGTCCTTTCATATCAGTGAGTTCATTTGTATGATTATTGATATTCAACCTAAAAGTGACTCCATACCATGGACTGAAAGTACATCTATTGTACCAACTATAGTTTAACATAGACTCAGAATCATGAATATGGACTTCGATCATTTCTTGACAAAAGGTTCTAGGGTCTGTAAAATTTTATTCAAAAACACTTGTACCTAAAATGAAAACAGTTCTTCAACCACAATACCATTTTTGTGGAACTGTGGGTGTTTTCTATTCGAATGTTTTAAATGCGTCACAACCACTCACATTTCAAAGACATATCCCAAACGATATGAAACAATCCTGCCATCTTAGTACTATCCACATACAAGTAAACATATATTTTGTATATGCCCAACAGTTATATAACCATTTCCTTTTTTAATACAAGATCATTAAATAGCATATGTACTAGAGGAACCAATTGCAAATCACTAAACTAATGAAAAGATATGTTGCTTGGGGGCTGCTGGAGTTAGGGGATTAACATAACCTTAGGACATGTATACAATACCATGGTTCGGGATTGCGTTGGGTTCATTGAACTGAGTGCTATTCACAGTTGAAATTCTACACATGGAATGTAATATGTAGGAACGTAGACCCCGGGTACAGCAGCACGAACCACGCGAATCACAACCTATTATAACCCGGTGTTCAGACAGTTAAAGGCGGAGAGTCTCAACTGGAGGAGCTGGGGTAGCATGACTGCATGGTGCGAATGAGGTCATTTAAACAAGACTGAATCAGGTCATATTAAATAAATCTGAATCAAGCCATTGTATTTGTTTCACTCCTGCCAGACACACAATCCTCTAGGAGACCAAAAATATATTTTGGTATTATTCATTTCAATCATTTCTAAGGACACCAAGCTCTACCAACAATTAATTACTGTTAGTTTCTGTAATATTTCCGGATACCTTTCTCCAAATATAGACATCAAAGGAATCGAAATGGGCAAACCCTATAAAATACTTGACAGTGACTAAACAGGGTCACGAGTAATTATAACACGGGGCTCTTGTTCTGTCTTGGGGTGGGGGTGGTGGGGGTGGGTGTCTTCTTGAAGATGGCTTCGCGTTATGCCTTCTGAAGTTCATCGTGTGTACTTTTTCATCTTTATCTGTAACAGACATCTTTTTCACAGGTATTTGTTTCAGTGTGAAACGGTTATGGGTTAATGGCACAGGTAGTAAAACTGGGGGCCATATCAAATAAAACCATACTGTCAGTTCGGGTTGTTTTTTATTACCATGTGCCTACAAAGGTAGAATCCGTTGGTAGTACACTAGGTCAGAGAGTGTTAGTATGTTGGTCACTTGTTGTCAGCTCTGGAGCTGGTACATGTGTTAAGAAGTTATGAGAAGACATGGGACATCACCTGTCCTGGGTGTCAGTGTTATTATGTTCTGGTCTCGGGAGATGAAGACGTCGTTCGTGAGTGAGTGAGTGAGTGAGTGAGTTTTGTTTAACGCCGTTGAACAATATTTCAGCTACATCGATGTGTCTCTGTTTCATGTACGATGGAAACCTGAATATACGCAAGTGCTTCAGGTTTACCCCGTTTACAAAACCCACAGACATGAAGCTGGAATGCTAATGATCATAATAAGGGTAAACAGGCATTCGTGCCAACGATCATCGGATCCTTGTAGGACAAAGTGAAGCATCTCTGCAGTGATTGGAACCACATTGACCCAGAGACTGAAGTAAAACGAAACGTTTTATGAATTAATAAACTGGCATACACTCATCCCATGTAGAGTTTCGGTTTCTATCTTTCCTGGTAGAATTCGGAAAATGATTGATTATATTCTGAAGGATATAACATGTTTAGGACAGGGTTAGATCTTGGTTACGGATCAAACAATTTCCTTTCGTCTGATTATCTACCATATCATACCATTATCAGTATAATCGTAAATATACTGACTGACTGACTGAGTTTAGTTTTACGCCGCTTTGAGCAAGATTCCAGCAATATCACGGCGGGGGACACCAGAAATGGGCTTCACACATTGTGCCCATGTGGGGAATCGAACCCGGGTCTTCGGCGTGACGAGCCAACGCTTTAACCACTAGGCTACCTCACCGCCCCTCGTAAATATACATGCTTGATATGGTGTCATGTGTCCAGCGTCAGAAGCAAAACGGAAAATTCTAAACGAGGTAAATAAATGTTTGTAATCATTTTGAATATTGTTAGGTCACATAAATATTTATCGATTAAATCGATACAGAATAGACCAGAGAAAATAATACGATCAAACCAAAGTAAGTATTCCTTCAATGGAAAGGATAATTATTTATTATAACAATTTTCCCAGCGACGTTATTAGAAATAGCCTGCCCTTTCACATGGTGTCACCAAAAATGAACTTCACACACTGTGCGGAATCGAACCCGGGTCTTTGACGTGACGTGTAATGACCTTAACTACTGCATGCATCACGTCACTATGTCCATAGTATTATATAGATTGCTCCTCGGGAGAAAACGCTGGTTGCATGGTATCCGTCAGCATCCACTGGTATCCATTGGTATCCGGAAGTATCCATTGGTATCCATCAAGCACAGTTCACATGGGGGTCATCTCAACACACAGTTTCTCATTTTGAAGAAACTGAGGTCAAGGTCAAACATGAAAAACTACTTCAATGACTCCTATTGTTACCGGACAAACAGAAAGTTAAATGCATAAAAACAAAATATAGTTTTGACTATTAAAATAGAGGATATTTTTATTCTAGAAGTAAAGTTTTAATTAGTATGTGGTGTATGTACCAAAGAGCATGAGTGCGATACCACAGTAGCACCATTCTTAACGATAGCTCATCGCCGCCATGTTGCCAGACAACTACACAATGGCTGTTACCACGTGGTGAAAATGCCTAACGAGGGCTCCGAGTTTTATAACATGTTCTTAAGTGTTTATAGATGTCCATCGCATAAAACGGACAACAAAATTACAAAATGAACATCAATTTCCGCTTGTGTCACCAACTCGTTAACGAAAATGCCCACCGTTTAAACCACCCAGGCCATTTCCGCACTCCTATTTTTGGTTCTGCAACTTTGTTGACAGCGTCCCGTTGCACGGCAACCCACGTGCCGGATCGATGTTCGTAAACTCCTGCACACTGTCCCGTGACAAAAATGATATTAACTTGACGGAGGAGGATGTAGTGTCTATGGCAGCGGCGTTATCGAGCAATCAAACCGATACTGGTTCAGATGCTAAGCCGATGCGATGACAAACACCAAAACGATTGCCTCTTAGAACCAATGATTGCATCAATCACGCAACGACTCGTCCCAAGCCACACCTTATAAATAAAATATACAACCATTTCCACATCCGAGGCACACAAACACCACTATTCACCTTCCACCCCTTGTACTATTCGCATTGCAAGTACAACTCTGTCCCTCTTTCCCACGTCGTCTTTCCACTGTAATGAATCGTACAACGCATAACAAAAGAAGCGCTATTGACAAAAATACGCCGCGCCATTATGCTGACAGCTACCTGTAGCCCTTGCAGGTCATAAGCGTTGTGGGACGGTGTACCTCTCGTCGTTAACTCGTCCATGTAGAAACTTCGGGGACGCGGCTGCTTAGCTCCATACACAAATCCTCGGAATCCAGAAGCCTGGTAGTACCTTTACCTACCGTTCCATGTTGTCGGGATCGACTGGAGTCTACCCGAAGTGCCGGCCATCTATATTTGTATTGTACGGCTAAAGAACAGGTCTTGCTAGGTGCTACGTACAATAGCTGTGTTTCCCGACTGGTCTAACAAGTTCCACAAGCCGTGTAGAATGAGCACCGCGACAAAGTCGAAAAGTTCGGGGTAAGGTGTTTTTCATTCTTTATGCTATTATTTATAACCGAATCTTATAGCCTGGAAAGACGCAACAGTAGAGATGGTTGTTGGAACGTCATAACACTTTGGAATTTGTACCTGGGATTTCACCCGTGACGTTAGATTTGCGACACTGTACAGGTACAGGTTGGTATTTGTTTATTTACCTACAGTATCGGGCCACGTGTGTGAGGATACTATATTATGATAATTTCGTGTTTCTCAGGTATTTATACAGGTGAGTGAGTAGATTGGATCGAGATTGGGACAGTGTGTTGTGTCCCATGATGTGATGGCAGAGTCACTACTGTCGCGAGCGTGATAGTGTTGGCTGTTGTCTATATTGTAAGGGGCATGGGTGTTGGGATGGAGGCAGTGAGGTGTGAAACACACAGTTTACTACCACGTGACAACGACAGAAGACATACACAATTCTCAGTAGCTATTATCATAAATCCCCCTTGACAAACACGCGTTTCCTTTTTCCTCCCGCCGATTTAACGAAAGTGGCCAGTGCTGGAATCAAATTAAAGGATTTAATTAATTTGTTGCTTGTTAACATTAATTTTTGACAGGATTTAAATAATCCTAGAACTTCTATAATCGGTTGTGGGAATGGGGGAATTTAATTGGCTCGATGCTGCTAATTTGACAAGCGGCTGAATCGCTTCAGGTGCAAAGAGTGTTTGTAGAAGCGCTATTGAATTGCAATTAAGATGAATGCATTTAACTGTAAGGGTTAATTTGCCAAGCTGAGTGTAATTCGGTGTTGAAACAACACGTCTCGACAGTCCAGCCGCAAAACTCAACTCCACAGACAGGACCAATGGCATGTTGTTGTAAGGACTGAGGCTAGGGACCCTTAAATTAAAACGCCGGACAATCACTCCTCTAGGTTCACAAACCAATCTACCCGTAAAGAAGAACCCATCAAATTGGTGAAGACGACAAGAGAGAAAGAGAATAATATGTCTCCATGGTAACCATAGTTATGCAAAGAAAAGGTAGCACGGCGAGGGACACCGTAATAAAGGCGAGCCATCCATGCGTAGCTGACCACTGACGATAGGAGACGTTCCCCCAGTCAGTTAAGATCACCACTACCCTTGAGATGTCCACGCAGTGGTGAAGACCTGCTGACCATGTGGTCAACGCCATAATCGCTGGACAGTGTGTTAAGTGCTTGGACCCCGGGGCAAGTGGACCGTGTAGGGTGTGAGCCCCGTGATCGTGCAGTTCGCTCTATTGATGTTGGGAGGGCGTGTTGGGTTACGTCAGTGCTACCCCCACATACGGCTGAGATCGCCGGGTATAGAAAATTGTGATAGTTAGGAACGAACATGGTTAACATGCGGAGCTGGGGCCCCGAGGAAGATCTTTCTCTTGATGGATTTGAATTATCGGATGGCGAAATATCGGCTATAATGTAAGTCTTAGCTTTATTTTTACACACGATAACGAAATTTGACATGTGTTTTCATGCTGTGACATTTCCAATTTATATCGAGTATTTCCGTGTATCGCTTGACAGTATGAATATTGAATACATGTAATGTGATTCTTTGAATTTTGAATTGATTTTGTTTTTAAATTCAATAATAATAACTCATACAATGTTGAACCCTCGCATTGCCATAACTTAACTCACACAAGCAATACTTAAAATAGGGCAGAGCATTATCCAACAAGCGAACTCGTCACATTTACATTACAGTGGATAACAGAACAAGCTAAGATATTTATTACCGATATAATTGATGATCGTAATTGAATTATACAACTATGATAACCAGCTCAGTAGTCAAAGCTCGGTGATCGATAGATTTATTTTATTATTGTGTTTGTGCAGAACTGGGGAACACCAATTACCCGATCAAACCCACTACGAGCACATTCTGTATTTTAATGCAACATATCAGATTGCACGGAAATCGATGGCACAAAATAATTGATGACTTCTTTTCAGAGTAAAATTATATGTCAAACGATAGCATGGTAGCTTTTGTCCGTTGTTACATAGAACTTCAGGGCAAGCTATAATGTAAAGTTGGGGTATTTTCTTCAATGTAGGCTGTAGGTGAATTGGGTTGATACTTGACAGCCGTGTGACCTCGTCTCCGTGTTCACTCGCTTTTTGGTACCGTTTTGACGCGGTGCCGTTTTAGCCTGCACCCGTCATATGTATGTCATATTTTTCGTCGAAATCTTAGCATAAATAAAGTTCCGACCATGGTTCTTTCGTAAGATTATAATTATATATATTCCCTCATGTTGATTATTCACGCTTTTACGCCCCAGTGTTAATTCTATTAGGAATTAAGCTGTTCAAGAAACCCATGAAATTCAGTTAATGTTCAAAGTGAAATATTTCACATTAAATAATTTGGTTCCCCACCTTGTGTGCGCTGGTTTATGATACTGCACGTAATAAAACCACCTATATGCCCGCCTTCACGCTTATGAATTATTCATGAATGTTATGACGGATGGGGAAATGGCATAAAGTTTGAATAGCAGATGCACTCCTCATGGCGAATGCAAGATCATCCACAGAATATAAAATATTTACAATCCTCCAATTTAAACTCAAATTTAGTTGTAGGCCTATAATACATTTGTTTTGGGTTTTTTTGTGATCCAAATATGGGTTGCTTTGGCAAACAATCTTCTTATTTAATCGAACGTTCTGGAACTGTTATTTTTTTCTCTCGGTACTTTAACGTGAAATGATGTCTATTTCTGAGGAGAAAACAATGGTGTATATATAATTACTTTATGAAATGTGTTGTAAACTTGGATGTGAATGGTGCATCCTGTATGACGGTTTCGCGAAGTATGTGAAGGTTATTGCGTTGGGACAGTGATGGAACCATGCGATGCACATTTATCACGTGAAAAGTACACATCAACGATGTATATTTCAGTGTGTACATTTCACCATAGACGATTGTCTCTTTTCCTGGGCGAAGTCAGTGTTGAAACCCACGCGATTCACAATTATTACGTGAAACGTGTTCACTGACGTTGTCCATTGTAATATTTTTTATTTCACCATAGATAATTGTCAGTGTTGTTGGGCGTCGTCAATATAAAACCCCACGCGATTCACAATTATCACGTGAAACATACACCAGCGTTGTCTATTTTAGTATTTACATTTCACAGATAATTGTCAGTGTTTTGGGGTGTAGTCAGTGATGAAACCCACGAGATTCACAATCATCCCGTGAAACATACACAACAACGTTGTCTATTTCATGATCAGAATCTGTATTTCTCTGACAGTTATCAGTGTCGTTGAGTAGTGACATGAGTCAGTGATGAAACCACGCAATTCACTACTAACACGTGAAACAAACAACTGATTGTTGTCTATTTCAGTATGTACATTTCACCGTAAGCGATCGTTCGCGTTGACAAGTATTTCACAACTACGTAAATGCTTTTTATATATAAGTAACCTTTCGTCTATTAAAAACGCGTTAGGTGACTCATAACCATTTGAAGCGAAAACTCTTTTCATACATCTAACACAAATAATGTCTTTACTACCGTGCTGTCACGATACCAAGCTCTTCAGTGAGAAATCAAAGGCTTCAAAACTTACAGCTAATAGGAACACACGTATATCACGTTAACCACCAACAAGTATTCAGATTGAAGTAACTGGATAGTAACATAAAGAAACTTAACAGTTGTAAGGGCAATATGACACGGAAGTGACAATGTTTGGAAGTGAAACTGAGTTATAAAGTTATAAATGTCACTCCGAATGATATAGTCAACACCGTAAATATCATGTTTGTCCAATACACATATGTAGGTAAGGTGAATGTATCCTTGAACATTTTGTTGGGAGTTAGAATTATTCTTAAACAGCATTAGTGAGTATGGCTTTTACGTCGCTTTTAGCAATATTAGGCAATCCTTAATTGATATGCAAATTAGGTATTAATCGTGATCAACATGCATATCGTAAGCTCGAATTTTGGTTAAATCTTGTGTGATTAATAGGTATATTTTTGTCATTTTCGTTCATGTTTTCCTTCTTTTTTCTTTCAATCCTGCAGAAGTATGCTTGCCGCAGGACATGTTTTCAACGAGTTCTGTCTTGTTATACATTCAGGGAAGCTCCGAAACTGCAATTAATAATGGATGTATTATTTAAACAATGTCGCTGGCGTTAATGAACGGAAGCAACATTGTTTAGCCCCACAAACCCCTCAACACTCTACCCCCACCCCCAGTGACCGACCCCCTACCTGTCCTAAATTGCCTATTCAGTCTTGACACTGATTGCGAGACTTATCGATCAATAAGTTTCGCTCCACCTGATTAAATACCAAATTAGCATGCATTATATTCAGCGCAATTATCGCAGCCTTTGAAACAAGACTTGAATGGACCTGTATATGTTTGTTGCAACCAAGCTATAATTCTATAGGAATTTTCACTGGGAGCATCATGAAGCCTCACGGAATGGAATCGATTTCAATGTGGCAATCAACGTGTTATACAAACACAGTTGGCAATCGGTTAACCGATACCTGCAAACTACAGGTGTAACATGATGAAATATACACCAGCCAACACTGTAATGTACAATGGCATTGTTTACCTCCCAAATGTATTATTTTCACGTTGTGAAATTGACACTCATTCATATCACGCTCGAAACAAGAGTGACATGAATAGACATGGTTTCCCCACCTGGCACTGTTCGCTGACGTTGTACATGGCGCTATAGACTACGCCATCGAGTCATGGTTTCGGGTATCCCTGTAATTACAAACTATTTTGTTTTCAAAAGAAATTAATCACCCTTTGACTCAGTAAGAAATGTAAACATGAAAATTATATACCGTGACTGAAATGCATGTCGGAGACTCGTCATTGACTCTAGGACTATAGGGATGAGTGTAATCGGTATTTATGTCCAACAATTAAGATGCTTATTTCACCTCTTATGAAGATTATTCATTTCACAGATCGCATAATCTGCACAAAGACCTATGTACTTAGAATAATTCGCAGTAATCCATTTCAACAGAACAACAATACATTTCAGTCATTACGTGTAGGTTTACATTAGGTTTAAGCTCTGTGTTCTGTATTTACCAGCTACCGTCGGCGCTTAGTATGTAAACACTAAAAGCACTTATCGCAACATCTCTGTCTAAAACACACATAGTCACCCCCGGGCGAAATGCTGCTCGCTTGTTAATTATTTACAAAGGTGGTACCGATACAAGATGTTTCAAATGCATTATGCCAAAGGCAATTTTTTTTTGCAATCATGAATTGAGAGTCTCAGGAATGTACATCGAAACGCCGCCGTCCCATCGCACCCCCTCACCCATGTCTCACTCCTTTTTGCCCCCAGGGTCTGTCCCAGCGGCCTTCCTCTCTAGATAGCGATCGTGTCAGAGATGGGCAATAAAGTTACTTTATTTACATATATCTCTTTCTTGTCTCTTGTCATAAAAAAGATGTATGTCCATGTGATAAATCACATGACCATTGTGTGATTATCTTGAACGATATCCCAAACTCTTCTATCGATGCTCGCGATGTTAATCTCTACCTGCACTCATCAAAGGGCCGACCATTTTATATGTTACCGAAAGCAAGCAATAAACCCCTATGTGTTGTCACTTTCGTTAATTGCATGTTATATGCACAATAGGTATATCATTAACTAGCTGAACATATTGTACAGTACCTTCGAGACTTCGACAACTATTCGAAATAATTACACTTTAAAATGATGAAAATATGTTTCATCTTTCAATTCATAGGTCACAGGACGTTCTTGTGTATTTACAGTAAAGGGAACAAGCATGTTATTAGCTCACTGGTACACAAACATATATTTCAGAATTCGAACACGAATTTCTTCAATGTGTATTTGCGGTTATTTGCAATATCGATTTTACTTAGTGCGTCAATTTGTAATTTGCTTTAAATCCCCCCCCCCCCGAGTTTCCATCTAAAAAGCAAATAGAAGTGACTGAACACATTGACATGTTTTGTTATATGGTAATGAACCACATAACAAAACCAAATGTAAAAGTGTCTGAATTCATTGGTGTGTTTTGTTATATGGTAATGAAACACATAACAAAACCACATGTAAAAGTGTCTGAACTCATTGGTGTGTTTTGTTATACAGTAATGAACGCATATTGACATGTTTACTAGTATGTCAATAGTTTTGTCATCTCGTCCTACCCAGCTGTCTGTATGGGGTCTCCAGTGTGTGACCCTAGGGGCCACGATGGCGTATGGCCACTAAGATAAGACCCTTCAGTGACGACTGTGACTTGGTGACCTTATTTCGCCCCTGAAACATATCCGCTCGAATATCACGTCCTTTTGAACTTGCCGAATCTTAGCGTAACAAGAATTATCTATATCCTCTGATCT